CGTGCAGTGCATGTTTCACTTCCGCGAGTGTGTTCCTCGTCTGATTTGTTCACATTTTTCATTTGTGGTTCTGTTTTGTTTCACTTTGGGTGATATTTTATGCTGCAAAACACTGGTTTCTCAACAGGTGCTTTCTCAATCCAAGTCAGAGTTGTGAACCTTTGCTTGAGAAAATTTTACATTGGTCATCTATAAGTTTAATCGCAGAAGTGTAGCAGATGTGAAAAAAGCACAGCTTAATAGTACAACCATATGAGGTTTGGTCAAAGGGTTTCTAGAGAGGTCCACTGCCTCAGGAAGGAATGTTTTGGTGCATGCCTGTTTCAGTTCTGGGCAGAAACTTACTGATGATGGGTTCTAACCCTTTGCAATCCTCTGTCTGACTCGTTCCAATGTACAATCTTGCCCCGTTCTGCTCCGACGTTGGATGCCCTCCGACATAAATTTCACCCGTCTGTATTCCTGCTGGCTCCGATGTTGGTGCTCTTATGGCAATCTCTGGATGTTGGCTACTGTTTCTTGAAGTATTTCAAAGAGTTTGCCAACAGCTGGCATGGGAATGCAATTAATCGTAATAGAAATAGTAATGTAGTAATAGTAGAAAACAAAATCCTGTTTTCCTTATGTGTGGTTAAAATAAGTTGGAGTTGATGGGCATACTTCCTGTGATGACATTGGACTGCAAAGAGTTGAAATGTCTTGATTTTTTTTATTGCTTGAGATCTCATTAGGTGGTAGAGCCATATATTTTCACATGGTCATCAGATAAAGGATACTGGTACTACAGGGATTATATTTGTAACAATAACTTGTCTCACCGGCAACACGATCCATTGGTCTATCTCGCAGCCAGTGCATGCAGTTGTTCGATAAGGCGATGGGGGTCAAGGTGTGGGAGGCGTGCAACATGGCGTTCGACCACATGCCGCTGGCGGCCGTCATCGATCGGCGCATCTACTGCTGTCACGGTGGGATCTTCCCGCCGACCCTTGCCGGCGGCGGTCTTCTCTCGGCGATCAATAGCATTCCCTGCCCCCTCTCCGAGCCGGAGACCCAGTCACCCCTCGCCTGGGAGATTCTCTGGAATGACCCGCTCAGGTGCATCCTGACCAAAAGTTCTTCCTTTTATTTGCTCTTTAAGTACTAGCGAATTCTCTTTAAATCTGGTTATGAATCCATTTTCAAAAAGTGATTTATTCATGAGATATTTCCACTTGGTCTTGAATCCACCTTGGTAACTACAACATTGCCAAGGTAGCCAGTGACTTAGCTTAGCAGCTTGAGTTGCTTTTTTTGAAACAACAGAAAATTGGCTCCATTTAGCCCTCAAGCAAAAATTTATTTACTGAAGTCTCATATGTGCTTCATGTAATATAATTTATTAAAAGAAATTATTTGTATAATATAATAACATATGTCTTAATTTTCTTTGCAAAGCATACCATCATGTTTTTGTTCCATAATCTCAACACTATTGTCAATTATATCTGTTTCACTTATTTGTACCATAGCAAGGATGGGAGTTATGGCAAGAACATGATGGCACTGACAGACAAGAATGGCTTTGCTCCGAACACCAAACGAGGCACAGCACATGTATTTGATGAGGCAGCCCTCGAACAGTTCCTCAGTCGGAACAACCTTTCCCATGTGATCCGGGCGCATGAGGTGCAGCAGGCTGGGTTCCAGGTAAGGAGCTGTTTCCTTGTATCATTGAGGTAATCAGAGTAGCATAATGATGAATTTAGATTATTTTGGGGATCATTGTCATAAAAGACAAGTGTGGTGAATATTGCACATGAAGTGGATGGAGGTTGCAAGTCACTACAGGTTGACCTAAAGTGATGCCCAAAATGCGAAATTCATTTTGTCTCGTGTACAATGCAGCCAGTATCATGTATTTATGGAAATTCACCCAAAGTCAGTGATATTTAACCTCAAGAATACTTATTTTATGCATGCTGCATAACTTCATCGTCACAATTGGTTGTTCACGATGTCGCAGATCCAACAGAAAGGCCGGATCCTGACCGTGTTCAGCTCCTCTGCCTACTGCGGAGGCACAAACGAAGCCGCCTGCATCCTCTGCGAGAGCTACAAGCTGCGAGTGATCCGACTCGACA